AATACTGGTATATTCATAAAAACAATTAACAATAGAGTGATTAGTAGAACGAAGGTTGGTTAATACGAAACAATATCCAAAGTCTATAGTCCAACGGTATGTAACGGGTAAGCTTATCTGGACTGCTGTCGCTGACGCTCTCCCGTCCTCTCTCTTATATAAGAGGGACCAGTCCATTTCTAGTTAGAAGGTGGGTGCGCCCCAACACTAACATTGATTTATTTCATTTAATGTATCGTGTCATTTCAGGATGTTTAGCGTTGTTGGCTCTCTACGAAAGCCGATCCCTTGTTGTATAAAGCAATGTTTTCTCCGTCTATATTTCTGAGATGAGGTATTTTAATTATTTACATTATTCGGACTGTTGTCCTCATCTTTATTTTCATGTTCACGACGTTTCGGCATTGTACGCTCCGGCCGTCTTCATCACACATAGCCCAGTGGATAAAAGCGTTGGTTAGATTCAGTAACTTGACAGAAATAGTTGACTTCAATACCTGCTTTGGGCAGTGGTTAACAAAAACTTGAAGCGTTAAGTTAAATGTCATAACCGAGACACCCGGAAGAGGCATGACACGTGGAACTACAACAATAATCTACCCAGGTGAACGAAATAAAGTTTTCAATTCGAAATCCCAATCACCTGAAGAAGGCGGGATCGTAAAACGACCGAAACGTCGTGAATATGACAATAAAGCTAAGGACAACAGTCTGAACATTGTAAATAATGTTTTCTCCCTAACTTTCACCCTGTACGTTTTCTCTCATCTATTTATACAATTTTGTTATGTATATTATTCACAGATTCCCTCTGCGTCCATTTCTCTGACTGTGTCAACTTCCCAAAGCCACCATTATGTGTCCAAGAGATTTCAATTTTCTCTGTCTGATTATATGCAAATGTGAATTCCTCGTTCCTATTATGTGTAAAATATTTTCGTTGTTCACATGTCCCGCTCATGGTATTCTTAGTATCCATCTATGGAAGCACATCTTCGTGGAATCAAGTCTCTCCTTCATCTGTGAATATATTGCCTGGGTGGCATCAATTCTTTCCCGGAGATTCAATTATACCTGTCTCCTACTTGCATTGACTATCACTGCCTCTTCCCCTATATGCCAATTATTTATGCGAAAGCGAATGCATCAGAGTAAGGTGGAAATTGATTTCAAATCGCAGATTTCGTTACACGCAGATTTATATATATATATATATACACCAGAAATTATCGGGAGCTTGTTGCTGGAATCAAGGAGAAGCCATTCTGCGAAATTCTCCATCGTATTTCTTAGAAATAACGGTGATCGGTGATTTATTAGGACCTTGGAAAGATTTAACCATTTTTCAAACAGTTTTTGACATAATCAATTTTCAATCTGCAAATCATAATGATTTTATATCAAATTGTCCCATGGAAAATACCTGGCAAATTGAATAGGAATTTGTATATAATCTTGTTCCTTTATATTGTCTAAAAGGATAGAGAAAGGGAATGACTTCTTATTACCAAGTGGGTTTAACTTAAAATCGCCTACTTCCCTCCTGGGGATTTGTGCTTCGACTGAAACCTGATAAAAGTATTTTCAAGAATTAATTTCTTTTCAAAATTCCCTCTTTCCCAGATATATATATATATATATATATATATATATATATATATATATATATATATATATATATATATATATATATATATATATATATATATATATATATATATATATATATATATATATATGTATATATATATATATATATATATATATATATATATATATATATATATATATATATATATATATATATATATATATATATATATATATATATATATATATATATATATATATATATATATATATATATATATATATATATATATATATATATATATATATATATATATATATATATATATATATATATATATATATATATATATATATATATATATATATATATATATATATATATATATATATATATATATATATATATATATATATATATATATATATGTATATATATATATATATATATATATATATATATATATATGTGTATATATATATATATATATATATATATATATATATATATATATATATATTGGGCAACATATATTTTATACATAAAGAAAATAATCATACATAGAATAATCTGCAATATTAATGCGATTAATGGCGAAATCACTTCGTTAGTAAAACATAATGTAGAAACATCTGACAACAGTTTTATAAATGAGGATCACATCATTCAATGGATTAACAGGATTTTAATGCATACATTGTTTTACTAGCGAAGTGATTTCGCCATTAATCGCATTAATAGTGCAGATTGATTCTATGTATTATTATTTCTTTTTTATATATATATATATATATATATATATATATATATATATATATATGTGTGTGTGTGTATATATATATATATTTATATATATATATATATATATATATATATAACAAAAATTTTCCCCACGCTACAAATTCCTGGATCCCCTTGAAATTGGCCTGTTTAACCTAGTTTAAAAAAGAAATTCAGAAAGCCGAACGACCAATTCCAATAAAATTAAACAAGGGCATAAAAAATATTAAGCACTCCAAAGACATTTCGATTAGAGCTGACAAATCCAGAAACATTTATAAATTTAATCCCTCACATTACCATAAAATTCTTACTAATAAAGAAACACGTATAAACTAGATAGATATGGCAGAATATGAGATATGACATATTGACCAAGAGACCGCCAATTTCTCAAATAATTTAAATATCACAAATAGAGTGGGAAAGTTCCATATCAAAGATGCATACTTTTTATTTAATGATCATAAACCTAACTTCTTTAATAACCTACAGTGCAGATTAATAAAGCAAACAAATATTGTAGTAATTCTAATTGCTTAAAATACAATAAAAAAATAACCGATAAATTACAAGTTACTAGTTGTACACATCTCTGGAAATATTCGTTGGACATTATGAAATAGTTTAGCAACATTGAAATAAGGAAGGAGCTGCCTTTATAAAAATTGATATCATATTTCTACGCATCTCTCTCCAGGGATATTTTTGGTGAACTACATTAACTTTGCGAGAAACTATGTGAAAATCACTGATGAGGAGACTAATATCATTTTAACAGCCAGAAAATAAAATTCTGACTCTTAATATTTCAGTCAGAACCAAGTGCTATAATGATAACTTAGATGTCCCTATGGGTGCATATGATTCAGCCCAGGTTGTTGAGTTAATATGTATTTACATTTTAAATACTCCCAGTAGCATAAAGGTCCCACACAAATAGGCCTATATAGAGATGATGGGCTCATTTTCATTCCTAATGGTCCAATAACCTCGAGGATTCAAATAAAATCATTAGCACCTTTAAAGTATTAGGATTTAGGATTGGGATTTCCTCTAACATTAAAATAGTTAACTATTTAGATATCACTTTTAACCTCAATAATAAAACATTTAAACCATACCATAAAGACAATTAAACCCTCACCTATATTAATGTTAATTCTAACCACCCCAAAGACATTGTGAAAAATATCCCTACCACTGTTAACTCTAGGATTAACAACGTAAATATCTTTAATGAAAATAAAAAAGAAAAGTAGAAAAAAATGCTCTCCAAAAAAAAAGTGGTTTTAAAAATAAATTTCCTACCTAACTCCTATGAATAATACCGAAATATCTAAAATGAAACTTAGACAGAGAAAAAGAAAAACTATATGGCTCACTCCCCCTTCTGCAAACTGTCAAATTTTAAAATCGGACATTGTTTTCTAAAGTTAACCAAAAAGCACTTCCAGAAATAATCCTCTAAGTAAGAGTTTCAGCAGGAAAACGATTAACATCAGCTACTCTTGTACCAACAAAACTTATGAAATTATTAACTCACACAACAACCAAATTTTCAGGGTTTTCTATCGGAAACAGCAAACCTGGTATCAAACCCTCCTGTAGTTGTAGATCAAAAGATAATTGTCAAGTCGAGGGCATATGCAAAGCTACCAGTTATATATACTAAGCGACCATTTCCCCCCAAGAAAATATGAAAAATAAAAAAATAGTTTACAGTGGATTTTACGTAGAGGAGTGGAAACAAAGTTTTTATACCGATAAGCACTCATTCTCTAACCCTAAAGATAAATACCAAACAGCTCCGTAGAAAAAAATAATTGGAGAATAGAAGGACCAAAATTTAAACCCACAGAGAGTTTGGAAAATTATAGGTTCTTCAAAAACGTCGAATAGTGTGATTTATATTTAGAAGAAAAAATTAAAATAATAAAGTACAATGATGTAAGCCTATTGACTCAGAGGAAAAGAATTAGTATTCAAATGTCAACATAGAAACAAATTCAAATTACCATAAGATAGCGTTGCTTTAATTAGCTACCCAATCTCATCTCCTCTAACTCTTCAAATGTCGGACATAATAAACCAAAAACTAATTCTAATTCCCATAGTGGAATTTTGTATTATTTAGCTACCCTAACTCAAATCCATCCCCCGCTAAACCTTGGATACTATATTAATTATAATTCATAAACTTTCATCTACTTATAATATTACCCTAACTCTTTTACAAATACTCATTTACGTCTTTATATATATATATATATATATATATATATATATATATATATATATATATATATATAAAATTTTTTTTGAGTTCGTTTTTAATTTCTTCATTAATTTTAAATTTAATAAAAAATTTGTGTTTTCTTGTAATGCCCCCAATTTGTCAATATTTGGTTAATATTCTGCTTTTGATTTTAAATAAACTTCTTCCCTTTAAGATAGATACCTACCACCCTCCTTGACCCGTGTCTTGTGCCTAGCGTCTGACTGAAGCAGGGAAAAGTCTAGACTCTGTATTAGGTGTTTTCCGCAAGTTAAGGTTTAAGTTGACCCTTTAGCTTCCAATATCAATTCCTTACAGTTACCTGCTACATTTATCTTCCTCTACCTTTAGAGACGTGAACTTCATTTCATTCCACATTTTTTCTATCTATCTATCTATCTATCTATCTATCTATCTATTTATCTATCTATCTATCTATCTCTTTTTATGTCTGTCTATCTATCTATTTATCTATCTATCTCTTTTTATGAGTATCTATCTATATATCCCTTTTTATGACTATCTATATATCTATCTATCTCTTTTTATATCTATCTATTTCGTTTTATGTCTGTCTGTCTATCTATCTATTTGTCTATCTGTTTTTATATCTATCTCTCTATTTATCTATCTCTTTTTATGTCTGTCTGTCTATCTATTTATTTTTATGACTATCTATCTATCTATCTATCTATCTATCTTGGTCTCTTTATGTCTGTCTATCTATTTATCTATTTATCTTTCTGCTTTTATATCTATCTATCTATCACTTTTTATGTCTGTCTATCTATCTATCTCTTTTTATGATTATCTATCTATCTATCTATCTTTCTCTTTTTATGTCTATCTATCTATCTATCTCTTTTTATATCTATCTATCTATCTATCTATCTATCTATCTATATCTTTTTATGTCTATTTATCTATCTATCTTGGTCTCTTTATGTCTGTCTATCTATTTATCTATCTAGCTAGCTAACTCAGTTTGTTCATATCTATCTATCCGACGATTACGCTTTACAAATACGGCCAAACACTTTCTCAACCCACACAATTGTTCACCCCAGTGTATCTCATTTTTTTTCTTTCATTCATTCATTCGTTATTCAATTATTTTTACCCTTTTTATTCATTTTATTTGTAAGTAGTTTTCTTTATTCGAATGGATATAGATAATCACTTTTTCTCTCGGCAATTGAAAAACGTTATAACCCGAAATAATTATGATATTTTATTTGTCAATAAACATGGAATTTCCTAAGTTACAATATGTATTTTAAAAATGGCCATAAAATATTGAATGTATCCAAATATGATTTTCTTCTTCACTTCCCACGACGTATATACGTTACGCTTTCATTGTAACTTTTAAACATACATCTGTTCAACCGCAAACATAAGAGTATATTTTTCAAGATTTTATATTTAATTTATTTTATTCTCTATGGCATTTCTTTTTTCTTCTCCCGTTCCAACATCTTATCTACGAAGTTTTTGAAAACATAAATTTATTATAACGATATTCAGCCAGTCTTGCTTAATGATAACACAGGTTCGAATCACACCGAACGCCATACAACATTCAGAAAATGTAAAATTTTTATTTTTACACTGTCTCTTTAATTTACGATATTTTATAATCTTGATAATAGATGGATAGTTAGATAGGAAGAGAACAAGATATATATATATATATATATATATATATATATATATATATATATATATATATATATATATATATATATATATATATATATATGTATGATCAGATTGAGATAGATTTTATGCTCTTGGTAATAGATAGATATGAAGAGACCAAGATAGATATTTTGGGATTAATTTACTTATAAACGATTAATGAATTTACTATCAACGAATCTTGCTTAATGAAAATACAGTTTCGAATCACACCAAACGCAATACAACATTCAAAAAATTTTGTAAATATCTTTATTTTTACACTGTCTCTTTAATTTACGATATTTTCATATTCTTGATAATAGATAGTTTGGGATTCATTTATAATACTGAACCCATACTCTCAAGGACACATGGCACAGTGGATAAAGGCGTTCGTTAGATCAGGACCCAAAGAGTCTGAGTTCAATACCCGGTAAAGGCAACGTAGAACTTGGAGAGGGGAATTAACAGGATATAACTGATAATTGACATCCATTAATATGGCACGTGGAACTAGAACAGTCTACCCCAGTGAGCGAAATAAAGGGTTCCATTTGATATTCCAGCCACCTGAAGAAGGCCGGAGCGTACAACGGCCGAACTGTTGTAATAAATAGCGCGACAAAGATGAGGACAATAGCCTGACCAATGTAAATGGTGAACTAATCAGTTGTTAATAAAGTCATGGGAAACGAGAGAGAAAACCCATTCTGACTGTTGTTTACAATTATATCTTTAAGACCTTGGAAATGTCATAAACATGTATCTCCATGTGAATATATTCCATCGCTCATTCAATCACCACTTTTTGGAATATCACTAAAAAAACTAAAAAACGAAAACGGTTATCAGAAATTTAGAAAAAAAAGTATATATTCTCCCATTTTATTTCATTCGTTTTAGCCTTGAAATCAAGGTCGTTTCGCTAAAACTACTGTTATTTTTTCGAGAACAATACATTCTGAATGTTTATCATCCGTACGTAGAAGGGTTTGAAAAATGGCGTCTCATTCAGATACTGTCATAATTTAGAAGGTCTCTAAATGAGGATATGATACTTCAAAGAAAAAGAAGGCTTTTCGTTGTAACAGAGTCAGTGACTTGGAAGAATCATTCTGTCGTTTGAATAAATGTGTTTAAGCGTTTCAAATACCAAACATATTCAATGAGAACCTTTTTGTTTTTTGTTTTTTTTTACTTGAATAAGTTGCATGAACGCTGAACGAAATAACATGCGGCAATCAAAATGGCGTTAAAAGAACAAAGGAAAAATGTAACAATAAAGAAAGAAAGAGAGAAAGAAACACCAGCGAGGAAAAAGAAATAAGGAAGAAGAAAATAAAAGAGATGGGGGAAAAAAATGAAAGTAATAGTCGGAGAAGAACAAAGAAGAAAAGAGAGATGAAGAAGAGTAGAATTTAGTGGAAATAAATAAAAAAGCAAAAAGAGAGAAAAAGTACTGAAGGAAAAATTGGGAAAAAAGAGGTAGAAGAAAAGGAAGATTAAGAAGAAGAAGAAAAGGATGTGTAAACAAGTAATTATATTAAAAAGAAAAAAAAAAGAAATTAGGCTCTGAAACTCAATTGACATTTAAAATCGGTCCAAGTTACTGGAACACCCTTTACAATAAACATCAATTGAAAACATTGTTAACGAAGAGGACATTGGAAAACATGACAGAAGCAAGTAATATAATATATGGAACTATCTGAGTAGCTACTTGAAAAGAGAAACAATGGGTCAAAGAATCTGCTTGCAAAACAAAATAAGAGCGATGAATTGCAGAAAATGGTAATATCGGTAGGGGATGTGGTTTCAAGAGATTCAAATGATTCAACACGGAATGGCAGCAATGACAAGCGGAAATATAATTCCAGAAATCAACGAAATTCTTAAAAAGAAACTGCATTTAAAGTCACGAAGAAAATAGAGACAGGAAAAGTGTTGTAGTTTCTATTAACCCAATAAAATATTTCAGACAAACCTCAGAGAATTAAAAAAAAAGCCTTCCTCTATTGCCGAAATGAAAAACGACACCACAAATTAATACAAAACAAAAACATCAACATAAAAGTCGAGCCGTGTTTTTAAATATCCTCATCTGGTTGAGATTTTGGCATGAATGTCATGCATGACGCAAAACTTGTCCTAAAATATCTAAACTGATAGCTGTATGCAATCGGTTTGTCTAGATCAATGGTTAACGTCTGAGCGAGTGAAGCCTGAGGGTCTTGACGAAGACTACCCTTGTGTACATGGCTAGTGAGTTTACGGCATTAAATGTGTTTCTAGCATTCAGCTCTTCGTCAGAAACTCCTAATAATCCGATAATAATTTTCGTGTTTTTTCTCTCATCAGGGAGTGTTATTATTATGATCATTATTACGGGAAGGAACGACACGTCAACACTATGGCGCTGACGTCAAATATACGAAAGCCGATCTATAATATCATTGCTAACCATTCTAATACATGTATCACAGCTTAACATACCCGATGCAATGGCAAGTTTAAACACAGTCAAAAGACTGCATGTTAAGCTTCTGTTAACATATAGGTGTTTATTTATAGGATGTATAATCCCATCCGAAACAAAAATTAAGATGGCGAGACAAAATTTTATTAATGCCGCGTTTCGCCAAGGAGCGTATGTTCTCTTTGGTTTCGTCAGTTTAAAACGAAAGAATAACAAAACTATGTGTGTGGAAAACGCCTTGGGATCTCTGAGGATATGTGGAATCATAAATCAAATGAATTACCTTAGCTTGTGACCCCCCTCCCCAATGTCCAGATTTAGAGAGTGTATTTGTTTTATCTATATCTGTTTGGTAATGTCCGGTCTTAAATGATGAATTTCTTTTGTCATATATATTTATTGTCGTTAATAACGTTTTCCACTTTCTTTCATCTTCACAAACATTAATAATTATCAGGAAACTGCCTTCTGCGAAAAAAATACTCCATAATCTACCTTCAGATATTTCAACTAAACGAAACAGTACATGAAGAAAATGCCTCCCCAACTGAATAAATTATATATATATATATATATATATATATATATATATAAAGAAAGAAAGAAAGAAAGAAAGAAAGAAAGAACAGTAAGATATATAATCCGGTGTTCTTATAGATATTTTTATTTTTACAAATTAGTACTCAATGTAAATTTACATAGCATTAATATTATAAATTAACTGATTTAAAATATGCTTTTTCGCTACACAGTTCTACCCATGTTTCAAAAATGGAAGCTGAAAGCTTCGAATTTAATTTTGTAATTAAATTAAAAACATTAGTTCCATTTCATCCTCAAGCAAATTTTGGAGTAACTTATTTTAAAATTTACTGAGTTTTAAAGGCATGGCAAAAGTTCATAATTCACTGTTTCCAAGTATACAGAGAAATACACTCATCCAGACAAAGGGTGGTAGCGTGTTCATTTTCATTAACTTTTGTTGTACCAGTTATTAGTTACGTTTGAAGAAGGGTTTTCGTTTAGGTAGGGATGTATTTTTCAACGAATTCTGACATCCGTTAAATGCATGTCGTCTGGGTTTTTAAATAATTTATTGTTAACGGCAAAAAATTCTTACATTTTTTCTATTTGTATACTTAAAGATTTTTTGGGAGATGTTTAGGTTTGAATACGTTTTATTTAACTACAATTTTTAAATATTTTCACATTCAATTTTTATTAGACTATATTTCTTTTTAAAACAAGTAAATGTATTAGAATTACTTACAGTACGTAAAATTATTTTTTCATATCAAGTATATTACTAGGTCACACATTTTTTAATTTTATATTTAAATATTATTTAAGTAAAATTTTTGACAATGAGTGCAAAAATAGCTAATTCAATTCTTTGATTCAGTAAACCTTTATTTTTTATAAACTTAGTAATATATAGTTTCTCGTGTATGTATAAAGGACATGGGTCATTTAATGACCAGCATATTCTAGATTTTCTTATTAACTTCCATTTTACTGTAAGTGTTTTATTGGATTCTTTTAAGTGCTTGAAGTACTTTGAGAGAGGTGTTTAGGTTAGAATACGTTTATTTAACTACAATTTTAAAAACAATTTTAAAATATTTTCACTGTTAATTTTAATAGACTATATTTTTTTATATATAATTATTTATTCTATCAAATATAAGTATGTATATTACCAGGTCGCACTGTTTAATTTTATTTTTAAATATTATTTAAGGAAAATTTTTGACAATGACGGCATAAAATAGCTACTTCATTTACTGATTCAGTAAATTTTTATTTTTTATAAATTTATA